TCCTGTATTGGGCCCTGTGCTCATCGCCCAGCACCATGGAGCTCCATTGGTATTTACTAGACAACACCAGAATTGGCCAAATTCATCACTGGTGCCCTGTGCTTTTCATAGATGAGAGCAGGTTCACCCTGAGCACCAGTGATAGAAGTGAAAGAGTTTGGAGAAGACAAGGAGAACACTTTGCTGCCTTCAACATTGCTCAGCAAGACCCAAAGAGCCAATCAGGAGCAAAGGTGTTAAAGGCCACCACCCATCTGCACCACTGGTTAAGCAGGGAGCATGCGCTTAGCAACGCTGTCAATCAAACTGGTTGCTAACATATGTGGGAAAAAAGAGAAGAAAAAAAATAAAAAACAAAGCTTTCCGGGTTTTGGAAAAGGGATGAAAAACACTCTGGTTATCTAGAGTCCCGATTTGCACAGATTTAAGAGATTTGGGAACATACGGTCCTTTCATTCTGATCCCTTTGATTTCAACCTCAAACAGATCTGCACCCTTATGCTTTATGCATTACATTTGATCATCATAACTGTGGGGCATGTCTTGTAAATACAATGGCAGTCTAGTTTATGCAAATGGAAGAAAATATTGTTTTTGGCTTTATTTAAATTGCTCCAGTCCATGCATCCTAATTGAATCTGCCTGGATCAAAGTTCATTTCAGACTCTAGGACAGAATTTTTATTAAATATTTTAATTTGATCGAAAAGCATCAAATTAATTTGCATGCTCATTGCATTTTAGAAGATTGTGTTAAGGAAACCTGGTATCATCTAGTATCAGTTAATCTCACATACAAGTCAGAAACATTAGCATTAATACATCGCTTACACTAAATACTCGAGTCATCTGTATAACAAAGAAATGTGATGATACATTAAACAGTTTACAGTATTTGACCAATGAAAGAACAGGAATCATTGTTAGATGTTCTTCTTTTGTAGGGAGGATGTTCCAACTTACTGAGAAACCAACTCCAAGGTGATGTTTAAGATGAATGAAAAATATTAAATTTATATAAATAATACATTTGGAACATGGTGAGACAGAAGACTTGCAGGTAACTTACCACTTTTAGGAAATTGCTTTGAACAACAGGATCAGACATTTAAGCCTTTGTTTGGAGACTTACTTTAATATTGGTTGTGGTTCTTAAATCTAGAAAAGAAAATAAATAAATAAAAAGCAGAATGACAAAATATTGTAATAATATTTATTGGGTTATTTGTGCTGCATTATATAGATATATGGGGTCTATATTTGCACTGTTTATGGATTCATTCTTCAGCATAGGCCCATATTTTGTTTGGACTCACTACTTGATTAAAGACAGAGTATCACACTTCTATGAGGTATTAACTGTTAACACATAACATATTTAGATCACTGTGTTATATTTTATTGTTTTGAAAATGTTCTTTCAGACAACAACATATTAAAATGTGTAACTTTAGGTTTAAAATCTCCAAGCTGCTCTGAATCCCCCCAGATATTATCTATTCGTGTTGTACTGTTATTATGAATGGCAGTGCATTCTGAGTTAGTAGTATTTCAAATCATATATTTTGGGAAAATGATCTGGCGCATATTCCCCCAAAATAATGACCATTGGCTGCTTTAGATTATAAAAAATCAGTACCATGAAAAAAACAACAACATTCTGGTCTATCCCCAATCTTAAATATACCTTTTTGGCACACAAATGTCCTCAGAATATCACAAGGGACATCCTTCCACAAGTTTGAACCCTGCACAGCACATGATTCAAACCCATTGTATTGGTTGGGTTCCCCTGGTGTCCATTTCTTGTATGTACTAGGGCTGCCATTGGACCACCTCCAAGGGACTCGGTACAGGCCGATCCACACATAGGCTGTTGTAGATGGCAGAAGGTTAATCACAGCTTGGTTTTCAGCAGAGCTCTCGATCATGGCCAGGTCGTGATGGTGCTGTCTGCAGTAGGACTGGGAGTTGGTCCAGGTCATTGGAGTAGTGATCAGAATGTAGTCTTTAAGGCCTGATGGTTGAACTGGGTTAGCAAAGAATGAAAACAGGAATAACTTGATGATATATACTATATATATAGTTATATCTTTAATCACTTATTTTGGAGACGTTGCTGATCGTGGCCTGTGTTCGTCTCCACCAGCACATGCCAACTGCTCTGGACTAATTTTACTACTATTTTACTTTGTCAATCAGTTCTACACGTAGCATTCGGCAGTGTCGCATAGTCATTTTGACACAAATGAAAGGAAAAAAAAATCTGTTGCTCGCTAGCGTGATGTGCAGATATCCGTTGAATTGCCAGCGTTACGGCTCTGTTGGTGGTGATTTGTCACATGGGGCGATGTGGGCGTGGCCTTGCCAGGACCCAACTTTAATAAACCTAATATTTAGTTTTAAATGCTGTATTTCTTTTTTTTTTTTTAGTGTGTTTCAAATTATTAAGTCATCCCAAACATACATATGAGGCAAAGTGGGCGTGTCAGCGCGTTTGAATATAGTGAAATCCACACTGCTCCGGACTCATCACGGATCGTTTGCGTTGACTTCTATGGACTCACGAAATACTCGTACTGTCCAGATAGACAAACCTTACTCTCACTGCTTTTCTTTAGGGCAGACGAGTAAATCAGTCTACACATCGACTTCGGACAGGGCAGAAAGGAAGCCACAGAAAAACATTTACAATTTATTTCGAAGCACCCCAGAGGCATCAGCTTCCATTGGGCACTACATCTTTCTAAAGCAGCAGTCTGTGGATTATTTCATTAATTAAATCATTTCAGATGACTCTAAAACTAACTCAGGCAGAGTAGGAGGTGCCTTAGCGAGAATGGGATGGCAGTGAAAGAGTAAAGTCATCAAATTTTTAACAGCATTAGTTATAACTAGGGGTGTCAAATTATCGCGTTAATTGCGATTAATTAATTACAGTCATATTTAGCGCGTTATGTTTTTTAATTGCGTTAATCTTATTTTTAATCTCTAACTTTACTGTTTCTGTATGCGAGTTGCTTTATTATAAAACCTGTTTTTATGTATTGTTGGGCCAACAACACACACAAAAAAACACATTTATAATTTTTTTTATTTCGGTAATTCCACTCATTGCCGGAAACCCACACAAAACGCGCACAGTAAGAGCGACGTCCTGTTCACGTTGGCGGCGTCAGTCGCACGATGGACGAGGTCGAAGAGCCACTAGAACAGAGTCAGCAGCGCACAGGTAAAAGCACATTCGTGTCTTGGAAATTCTTCTCCCGACATGAGATATAAAAGAAAATAACAAATATAAAATCGCCTACAACTTAAATGTCACTGGTGAAAACAACCTGCATAGGCTCATGATGTCTGCACTAGGATATCGCATTCGTGTCCTGAAAAACGTTTGTCTAGCTCTTGGAAATAAAGTACGTTTTCATAATAAGCAGAAGTTACCTGTCCAGGAGTAATTTGGCGACCAGTGCGTCAGTCTTTAGACCCTGCGTCTGCTTCAGTCGCGCCATCGCTGGAATGAATCTACAAGAATTACCTTAGTTTGGCTTCGCTGCTTTTCCCCTTGTCTTCTTCTTTCAGCGACCTCAAAAATGGACTTTCTTTTGCAGCTAACTGCTCCTGGATTCTTGTCTGCCATTGTAACAAACTTTGTGCTAACTGCGAGGAAGATGTAGGACAAAAAAGCTGCTAAGAACCGTTGCGTTGGTGGAGTAAACAGCGTCTGTGCGTCTTGCGTCTGTGGACTGCGTGACAGGCGTACGTAAACCACGTAATGGCAGCGCGCATCCAAGTCAGTTACGCTAGACACATAGAGAGTTTGATTGACAGCCTATCAGCTAACAGATAACGAGGCAGTGTCGTTATTGTTAGGCGTGTTCAATCGAAAATTACTAGAGTCAATCAATTTAAATTCCAAAAATTTATTCCCCTGACAATACAATTCTAATACAGAGCTCTGGGTCAGATCGTTGTCCCTAACTGCCTACAAAGTTACATAGGGCTCACATCAGGCATCTGACCCTTTGTCTGTCCCTCAGCCCAGTCTTTATAACACAATAGTATGAATATGCAAATAATATGTTGAGCAGGTTCCCGCCTTGAATCGTCGCCTTGAAGTGTCAGCATTTCTTCTTTGGGGGAAGTGGCAACCCCCTCCAAACCATTGTAAATCACACCAAGTCTGTTTAGATAAGCCAGTTGGTTATCTCCACAGTCCAGTTCTGCAAAGGAATTTGTGACAACCCCCTCCAACAGTTGTCTCCACAGTCCCACTTCTGCAAAGGAATTTGCTTAGAAGCACATAGGTTACCCATTATGTAGTAAACACAATGGTACTGTTCAACAGATAAGATCTCAGTGTTTAAGCTTCAAATCAATGTGTAACTTAAACAATATTCGAACCACCACTTGATACAGCCTTCATTATCTATTGGCAAATGTTTAGCCCCACCACGTCCAGAGTTGATGAATTTGTATTCTCTTTTTTTGGTCATCATAATTACAAGGCTACTGCACCTCTATAATGCTATCATTGACAATTTGAAACAAAAACAAAAAATCCTCCATACAACCTTTAATTTGTGACCATATTTCAGTGCTCTGGCCAACAGTACAATCAAACAAGACAATCACAATATAGTGGATATAGAGTTGACCAAATCAAACTTAATAACTTCAGGTTCATGCGTTACTTGTCTCTGTGGACTCTGATTGAAACCCTGAACCACTAACGACGGTAGCACCACAGACCAAACAGAGACTGGCATGGTTCAGCCAATAGGACTGGACAATAGGACAATAGGACCAATAGGGAAGGGAGAAGGGCTATTTAAAGGAACAGGTGCAAAAAAAAAAAAAAAAAAAAAGTAGTAGCCTTTTTTCACACTGAGATACAAATGATTTAAAACCAAACGGCACTCTTAACAACTGACATCACATAAGTTCTGCTGGGACAATTGTTGAGACAAATTACTAAGAAGCAAAATGAAAATACATTACTTACTGCTGTTCGTGCAACCATTTCACTAGAGCAATACCACGGTAACTCCAAGTGGCCTGTGCGCTCGAATTGGGGCTTGTGGCATCAGAGCACCATGTAAGTGGCTCGTCATACTCCCAATGACATAATGCTAGTGGCTATAGGAAAAAAAAAAACTAAAAAAAACCCCAAAAAACAAAGCTTTCCGGGTTTTGGAAAAGGGATGAAAACCACTCTGGATATCTAGAGTCCCGATTTGCACAGATTTAAGAGATTTGGGAACATACGGTCCTTTCATTCTGATCCCTGGGACTTTGATTTCAACCTCAAACAGATCTGCACCTTTATGCCTTATGCATTACATCTGATCATCATAACTGTGGGGCATGTTTTGTAAATGCAACAGCAGTCTAATTTATGCAAATGGAAGAAAATATTGAATTTGGCTTTATTTAAATTGCTCCAGTCCATGCATCCTAATTGAAGCTGCCTGGGTCAAAGTTCAGGAGGTAAAAAGCACTCATTTCAGACTCTAGGACAGAATTATAAATATATATGTTTTATCTCATGGAAAAACAACAAATTAATTTGCTTACTCACTGCATTTTAGAAGATTGTATTAAAGAAACCTGGTATCATATAGTATCAGTTAATCTCACATATAATTTAGATACAATCTAAGAGTTAGATTAATGCATCACTTACACTAAATACTCGAGTCGTCTGTACAACAAAGAAATGTGATGATACATTAAACAGTTTACAGTATTTAACCAATGAAAGAACAGGAATCATTGTTAGACTTCCTCTCTTCTTTTGTAGGGAGGATGTTCCAACTTACTGAGAAACCAACTCCAAGGTGATGTTTAAGCTGAATGAAAAATAATAAATGTATATAAATAATACATCTGGAACATGGTGAGACAGAAGACTTGCAGGGAACTTACCACTTTTAGGAAATTGTTTTGAACAACAGGATCAGACATTTCAGCCTTTGTTTGGAGACTTACTTTAATATTGGTTGTGGTTTTTAAATCTAGAAAAGAAAATAAATAAATAAAAAGCAGAATGACAAAATATTGTAATAATATTTATTGGGTTATTTGTGCTGCATTATGTAGATATATGGGGTCTATATTTGCACTGTTTATGGATTCATTCTTCAGCATAGGCCCATATTTTGCTTGGACTCACTATTTGATTAAAGACGGAGTATCACACTTCTATGAGGTATGTTACATTTTATTGTTTTGAAAATGTTCTATTAGACAACAACATATTAACATATATGTGCCATTTTAGATTCAATTTTGTTTTCAATGCTCTGAATCCCCCTCCCTCTATTGCAGTTTAACAGGGCTGGGGATGTCAGCACAGACACTGATATTACCTTTTCTTATTGTACTATTATTATGAATGGCAGTGCATTGTATCTGAGTTTGTAGTATTTCAAATCATATATTTTGGGGGAAATTATCTGATCTATATTCCCCAAAAAGTCAGCACAAGTATTGGACATGAACAAAAAAGCAACATATTGGTCTATCTCCAATCTTAAATATACCTTTTCGGCAGACAAATGTCCTCAGAAGATCACAGCGGATATCGTACCACAAGCTTGAAACCTGCACAGCACATGATTCAGAGTCTCCATTATTGTTGGGTTCCCCTGATGCCCATTTCGTGTATGTACTAGGGCTGCCGTTGGACCACCTCCAAGGGACTCGGTACAGGCCGATCCACACATAGGCTGTTGTAGATGGAAGAAGGTTAGTCACAGCTTGGTTTTCAGCAGAGCTCTCGATCATGGCCAGGTCGTGATGGTTCTGTCTGCAGTAGGACTGGGCATTGGTCCAGGTCATTGGAGTAGTGATCAGAATGTAGTCTTTAAGGCCTGATGGTTGAACTGGATTAACAAAGAATGAAAACATAAATAACTTTATTAAAGTCTTTTTACTATTATTATTATTATTATCTTTCATAAGACTCTATATTCCAATGACCGCAGACAGATTTGTATAAAACCCCCTGTGGTGATCGCCCTTTGGATTGTTCCATGTTCCCCCTAGTGACTGCAATAATGGTCCAGTACACTTTGCTAGGGCGTGTTTTGTCTAATACTGCTCAGTGTATGTCAAGAGGTTGTTTCGCGTGCATTGTGTTGGACATGTATTTCTGTTTGTAATATGTGTACCATCATTATGTGTATTTGTTCAGGCATCAAATGTAGCTTTAAGTTCAGTTTGTGCAGTCACGAGGCATCATAACGGCACGTGTTTCCCATAAATATATTCTTGTGTGTAATTTACTGTATGCCTTGTGTTTACCTGTATATTTAGTTATGAGAGTAGAAGCTTATTATTTACCTTTATATCGTTCCCTTATTCTCTTAATTAGTCTGTTTTTTCCTTTGTCCAAACACCTCAGTTACATAATTTGTCAGCACTGTTCAGTCACTTATCACCCTTGTTACAGTCTTGTTAATTACCCATTTATTTTCCTGTATTATACTTGACTTTAATTATTTCCTTTTTGCGTTTTTTTACAGAAACCACACACACCCATACATGTACCAACACATGTAAACACCAGCTGCTACTGTTCAACTGTCACATTCGGATTCATTACAGTTCATTATCAACCTATCAAGTCTCCTGTGCTGTACTTTTGTAGTAGCAGTGCAATTTGTGCTTCAAATACAAAAAAATATAATGACACAACATAAACACTGCTCTGAAGTGAGGGATATAATTTTATGTGAAACCTGCAGTTTATGTCATATCCAGGGTGCAGTGTTAACAGAATTTGGTTCTATTTTTCCCAAATTGTGTGCTTTGTTTTGAAAAATATCGTTTTTTTATCAAGAATAGTGTCTAATTCCATCATAAGGACTTAGTTGTTAAGTGTGATGTCACTTTTGGGTCCATCAGATAATGCATGCGTCCAAATTTTGGATTTCCAGTCTCCGCGCAATGCATACTGGGAAAGATCCTCCAAAAACATGAGCATCAAACTGCCATGTTTGAGTGGGATGTCTATTGTCAAAGCCAGTCTTTCCAAGTCTTTTGAACTATATGACAGGTTCTGATATCATCATATTTTAGTTATGGGATTTGGACATCGTAATTGTGTGGTTGTTGAATGTCCTAACAGCGGAAAATGACTCGAGAAACCATCCCAAGTTTGCAGTGAACATTTTGTATGTGGAGCGCCATCAAAGCAAAATCCCGATCCCTCGCTCAACCTTGGTTATGAATTTAAAAAGTGAACGTCAAAGTGAAATTCACCAGGAAACACCTTCCACAGCAAAGTGACCAAGACGAGATGTTGCTGTAAAGCCACAAGAACAAGAAAGTGTGAGCTCAGCCTGTTTGTCTTCTGCACCTCTCGCTTAACAAACAGGATTTTGCTTTGATGGCGCTCCACATACAAAATGTCCGCCTCAAACTCGGGATGATTTATTTTTTGTCCTTCCTGCGTATCAGTCCTGCCCATCGCCTTCGCCTTTCACTATTTTTCAATTACGTTGGGAAGAGAAACAGTTTGAACAGAGGTTTGCATTCACACAGATCTGATTCCCTTTTGCAGTTATGGAGTTCGCAAAATTCGGAAGCCCATTTCTCGAGCCATTTGTTAGGACATCCAACAACCACACAATTACGATGTCCGAATCCCATAACTAAAATATGACAATGTTAGAACCAGAAACAAAAGCGATATGGTTCAAAAGACTAGAAAAGACAGACGCATCCCACTGGGAAATCAAACATGGCGGTTTGATGATCACTTTTTCAGATGACCCGTTCCCAGTATGCATTCCGCGATGACTGGAAGTCTGGAATTTGGGATGCATGTATAGAAGACAATGTTTATAGTTTCCTCTTTTTTTTTTTTTTTTTTTAGCAACAACACATCTCACGTTATAACAAGATTGCAGTAATTTAATAAAGCTAACAAGGTTATAAGGTCATAAGTGAGATATACACACTTGTAATCCTATAGTATTACCTACGTTATTTACATATACGATACAATTGGCAGCTAAACATACTCTTTTGAAAGGTAATTATTATTTTTTTGTTTCTATGTATTTTTGAGCTAGATTTAGAGCAGATAATGATGACACTCGACAATGACACTCGACCTGAGTTTGCTTAAGAGGAGGAGAACACAGAGTTGGAGACAAATAGGACCAATAGAGCCTGAATGTGAGCACAGTTACTCTCCTGTGGCCCAAATAATTATTATTTATGTATTTATTTATGTTTGTAGTTGAGTTGTTTATATATATTAGAGACCTGGTAAATTTATTTAGCATACAGCATTTGTTGGGCCTACAAAGGCTGCTCAAAATGGCCAAAAACTCTGGCAGGGTAGGTGGTGGTAGGCAGTGCTTTTACAAGAACAGGGATGAAAGAGTCAAGTCATTACATTTTTAACAACATCATTGCAGTTGTGAGGTTAGCTTATTTAACATAAACATAGACCTTCTAAATGTGATCTGGAGCATTCATTAGCACCTTACCTGTGTAACAAAAGAATTTGTATGAGCTAGTACAGCTCATATCCCTCCATAGACCATTTTGTATGAAAATACACAATTCTTTTCCAGCATAATTATTTGGGTCACCAGGCGCCCAGTTCTGGTAGCCTCCAGGACTGGTGGTCCCAGTGGAAGACCATCTCCAAGAGTTTGAGTCAGACGTCATCACCCCTTTCCATGAAGCAGGGTCATCGAATAATCCGATCCAGGCCTTGGCTCCATCAGGTATTTGTAACTTGTTCACATCCTCTTCATTTTCTAATGTGGCTAGATCAGCGTAGTGCTCTCTGCAGTACTGCCGTGCTCCTTCCCAACTCAGTTGTAAGTTGACATATTGGTACTCAATCTGACATTGAACAAGAATGCCTCCTGATATTTTGGAACAAGCAAGAGTAAAATGTAGATTAGAATAGCAGGGATTCAGAACACAGCATTCAGTAAAGCTTTTTTTTTCCCTTTAATGATACTAATTCTGTGACTTTAGGCATCTGAAAATATTAACCAATACTAGTTTATGGACTAAGTTGACTCAGAACACAGTCAATTTATAACAGAATTGATCGAACATAACAATGTTGTAAAAGTGTCTTTTAAAAGGTCAACTCTTACAGAGATAAAACATGTTTGTGACATTTCAGAGACTGTATTATTTAAATACAACTATATTATGTTGTGTAACTTCAGAAACTTTTGTTCTGTCGACTATATTTCTCACGTTTCATTCATCATTGGTTATTTTCTAAATTACAGTGTAGTTTGCTGTCACAGTCTAAATTTCATATGAATATGAATAATGTAATAATTAAGGCTTATAATTATAACTTTATTGTGACAGGATCTTAAGGATGCAACAATACAGTTTCGATACAATTCAGTACATATCACATATACATTTTAACATATCAGAAAAACGAACAAAAACATAACATTCATATCAATCCCCCTGTCTCTTCACTGTTCAGCTATACCAGAGTTAAGCCAAGTTTTTTTATGTGTCCACTGAAGTATGGCACAGTTACTACATGTGGAGACTGAACCACATCTATGAGTTATTTGATTTTGTCGTGAGTATTTCTGTATTGTGACCAACTATTGGACCCTAACCCAGTTTGAGAACCACTGCTCTACAGCAGTTTTCACTCTGACTGACTTCTTTTGAAAGTTAGTTGTCTATTACTGATGTAGACAATACATTAAATAAATCAAAAACATGTCCAACCAAGCCACCTACCGCAGATCAAGAGTGCCCAAGTCTCCTTGCGAGGCATTACAGACAACCCTGTCTTCAGTTGAGGAACAAGTTGTGAGACAAGGAGTTGTATGTTACATCTTTTAACGATAATGATTTGAGCAATGTCCAAAGTATGCAAATATGGAACTTTACATTTTCCCTATTCAAATGATTAAAGCATGTCTCTGTGCTTCTGAGGAACTTCCAAAGAAAAAGTAATTCAAATGTGTATTCAGTGCACTTTTGAATGCAGTGGCCCCTCCTTGAACCGTCACCTTATTGTGGTGGAGGGGTTTAAGTGCCCGAATGATCCCAGGAGCTATGTTGTCGGGGGCTTCATGTCCCTGGTAGGGTCACCCAAGGCAAACAGGTCCTGGTGGACGGGTCAGACGAAGAACAGTTCACAAGCGCCATCTGATGAGTTCAACTCAGAGGCCAGCTATGGAATGGTGTTACCGGGGCCCCACCCTGGAGCCAGGCCTAGGGTGGGAGCTCCACGGTGAGCGTCTGGTGGCCGGGTCTTTCCCCACTGGGCCCGGCTGGGCTCAGGCACAAGGAGCAACATGGGGCCGCCCTTCCATGGGTCCACCACCTGTGGGAGGAGCCATATGGGGCCGGTGCAAGTAGATCTGAGTGGCAGTCGAAGGCGGGGACCTCGACAACCGGATCTCTGGACATGGAGACTAGCTCTGGGGAATGTCACCTCGCTGGGGGGGAGCCTGAGCTCCTTGTTGTGCGTTACTGACTAGATATAGTCGGCCTCACCTCCACGCACAGATTGGGCTCTGGAACCCAACTCCTTGAGAGTGTCTGGACTTTCTATCTCTCTGGCGTTGGCCGCGGGGAGCAGAGGTGGTGTGGGCCCCACAGCTCAGCCGCTGTGTGTTAGAACGAGAGGGTCGCGTCCCTGCGCCTTCAGGTCGGGGACAAGTCTCTCACTGTGGTGTCGGCCTACGGGCTGAACAGCAGTGCAGAGTACCCGGCCTTCTTGGAGTCCTTGGGAGGATTACTAGTCAGTGCACCGACCGGGGACTCCGTTGTTCTCCTGGGGGACTTAAATGCCCATGTGGGCAACGACTGTACCCGAGTGGTGTTCTGTTGGACATCTGTGCTAGTCACAGTTTGTCCATAAGAAACACCGTGTTCGAGCACAAGGGTGTCCATAAGTGCAGGAGGCACCAGGATGTCCTAGGCCGGAGGTCGATGATCGACTTGTCATGTCATGTCATCTGACCTCCTCTTGAACACTCAGGTGAAGAGAGGGGCAGAGCTGTCAACTGATCACCACCTGGTTGTGAGTTCAGTTCGCTGGTGGAGGAGGAAGCCGGAAAGACCTGGAAGGCCCAAGTGTGTAGTGAGGGTCTGTTGGGAACGTCTGGCAGAGCCCTCGGTTAGAGGGACATTCAAATCGCACAGCCCTCCCAGATTCCGGGGGAGGCTGGGGACATGGAGTCCTGAGTGGGCTTTGTTCTTGGCCTCTATTTTCAATGCTGCCGCTCGTAGCTGTGGTCGTAAGGTCTGTGGTGCCTGTCGCGGCAGCAATCCCCGAACCCGGTGGTGGACACCGGAAGTAAGGGATGCCATCAGGAGAAGGAGTCTTATCGGACCTTGTTGGCTCATGGGACTCCTGAGGCAGCTGATGGGTACCGACGGGCCAAGCGTGCTGCAGCTTGTGCGGTTGTGGAGGCAAAAACTGGGAAGCTGGGAGGAGTTTGGGGAGGCCATGGGGGAGGAGTATCGGACGGCCCCAAAGAGATTTTGGTAAACTGTCCGGTGCCTCAGGAGGGGGAAGCAGTCCCTTCACCAACACTGTTTACAGTGCGGGGGGAGAGCTGTTGACCTCGACTGGGGACGTTGTCCGGCGGTGGAAGGAATACTTTGAGGATCTCAATCCCACCGTCACGTCTTCCAAGGAGGAAGACGAGGCTGGGGACTCGGAGGCGGAATAATCCATCACCCTGGCTGAAGTCACTGAGGTGGTTGGCAAGCTCCTTGGTGGCAAGGCTCTGGGGGTGGATGAGATCCGTCCTGAGTATCTTACGTCTCTGGATGTTGTGGGGCTGTCTTGGCTGACACGCCTCTTCAACATTACGTGGCGGTCGGGTACAGTGCGTCTGGACTGGCACACCGGGGTGGTGGTCCCTCTGTATAAGAAGGGGGACCGGAGGGTGTGTTCCAACTATAGGGGAATCACACTCCTCAGCCTCCCTGGTAAGGTCTATGCCAGGGTACTGGAGAGGAGAATCCGGCCGATAGTTGAACCTTGGATCCAGGAAGAGCAGTGTGGTTTTCGTCCTGGCCGTGGAACACTGGACCAGGTCTATACTCTCCATCAGGTGCTCGAGGGTTCATGGGAGTTTGCCCAACCCGTTCACATGTGTGATATGTGCTCTGGAGAAGGCTTTAGACAGTGTCCCTCGTGGTGTCCTGTGGGGGGTGCTCTGGAAGTATGGGGTCCGGGGCCCTTTGCTAAGGGCTGTCCGGTCCCTGTATGACCGGAGCAGGAGCTGTGTTCGCATTGCCGGCAGTAAGTCAGACCTGTTCGCGGTGCATGTTGGACTCCGCCAGGGCTGCCCTTTGTCACCGGTTCTGTTCATTGTATTTATGGACAGAATTTCTAGGTGCAGTCAAGAGCCGGAGGGGGTCCGGTTTGGGGACCACAGGATTTCATCTCTGCTGTTTGCAGATGATGTTGTTCTGTTGGCTCCATCAAGCCAGGACCTGTAATCTGCACTGGGGCGGTTTGCAGCCGAGTGTGAAGCGGCTGGGATGAGGATCGGCTCATCTAAGACCGAGGCCATGGTTCTCGACCGGAAAAAGGTGGCTTGCCCTCTCCGGGTGGGTGGAGAGTCCTTGCCTCAAGTGGAGGAGTTCAAGTATCTTGGGGTCTTGTTCACGAGTGAGGGGAGGACAGAGCGTGAGATTGAGAGGCGGATCGGTGCAGCGTCAGTAGTGATGCGGTCGCTGTATCGGACAGTTGTGGTGAAGAGGGAGCTGAGCCGAAAGGCGAAGCTCTCAGTTTACCGGTCAATCTTCGTTCCTACCCTCACCTATGGTCATGAACTCTGGGTAATGACCGAAAGGACGAGATTGCGGATACAAGCGCTCGAAATGAGTGTCCTTCACAGGGTGGCTGGGCGCTCCCTTAGAGATAGGGTGAGGAGCTCAGAGTAGAGCCGCTGCTCCTCCACGTTGAGAGGAGCCAGCTGAGGTGGCTCAGGCATCTGTTCTGGATGCCTCCTGGGCGCCTCCTTCGGGAGGTGTTCTGGGCATGTTCCACCAGGAGGAGGCCCCGGGGAAGACCCAGGACACACTGGAGGGACAATGTCTCTCGGCTGGCCTGGGAACGCCTCGGGGTCCCCCGGAGGAGCTGGAGGACGTGTCTGGGGTGAGGGAAGTCTGGGAGTCCCTGCTTAGGCCGCTGCCCCCGCGACTTGGCCCCGGATATGCGGAAGAAAATGATTGGATGAATGCAGTGGTGGCTGTCTCATTGTTGCCATTCTAATGCACCTGTTCATTTCCACTAAAAAAGGTGGCATCCTTTTGTTCCTAGGATGTTGCCCTGTCCAGATTTATAATCTAATAATGACAAGGCGTAGGTTTAGTCCTGGTTTAATCCTGGACAATAGGGCTCACCCCAATTCATCTCGGGCACAGCTGGAATGTTAATGGGTCTGGGCAGGTGCAGATTTAACTTTGACATAATCACGGGTTAACGGGCGGGTGCGGTGCTGTACTGCGCAGGTGGGTGCGGGTCTCCAAACATGGACCTGTGCAGGACTCTGACTCCTTGATCCTCCATCTTTCAACAGTCAATCAAATGTGTCATACTGGTGTCCCGAAGAAAACCACGGAAGGAAAGAGTAAACCCGAGGAAGATTTTGTGAGCACACATCAGATACAAAAATCAGACTTGTCTCAGTGACGAGTTTATATCTTCTTTCTTCTCCCTGTGTCTCCTCTGTGGGCGGGACTTCCTCACCTATTTCCTGCAGAATTGAGGAGAGAAACCAAGGAGAAGGAAGTGAGGAAAGATCAATGAGACGCGGCCAATGCTGCTGTTGAGTAAGAAAGCTCTGTAATAAACCTCAGACTGTACAATTTGTTACATCCATCCATCGGCCATTTGAAAAGCTGCTTGGATGAGCAGCAAAACATATTCACTTGAAAAGCTTTTGACCAGTTGATAGAATAGAATTTTTTCTTTTGCTATTTGTTAGTCTTGTTAAATGACATGTGACTATGTTTTCACTGTTGGTTTTAATAAAGGATGTATCCAGTCCTTGAAATTCTTTACTCTTTTTTTTTGTTTGTTTTGTTTACTTTTTACTTCTGCCTCATTAGTGGGCATCAAGATTAGCTTTTTTTTTTTTTTTTTTTTTTTTTTTTTGTGGTTTTTTGAAGCAATTTTGGAATACTTTTTTTTTTTTTTTTTTATGTCAATATTACATAGAACATCTCTTTACAATTTGCATGTTGTCATATCTCTCTCTCAGAAATGTCATGTTATTTTGTGACTCAAAAGGAAAATAAATCGCAAGATGAAGACATTATATCAGAACTCAAACTTACCTGGCCACTTGTTTGTCTTTGCTTTAGAAACACATTATAATTTGTTTCAAGTTGAAGGTGATGCTTGTAATGTACCATTTTACCAGCAGGTGGTGCCAATGGGACGCCCCCTCTGTCATCAAAGAAGACTCTTTATNGGCATTGGTCCAGGTCATTGAGTAGTGATCAGAATGTAGTCTTTAAGGCCTGATGGTTGAACTGGATTAACAAAGAATGAAAACATAAATAACTTTATTAAAGTCTTTTTACTATTATTATTATTATTATCTTTCATAAGACTCTATATTCCAATGATTTGTATAAAACCCCCTGTGGTGATCGCCCTTTGGATTGTTCCATGTTCCCCCTAGTGACTGCAATAATGGTCCAGTACACTTTGCTAGGGTGTGTTTTGTCTAATACTGCTCAGTGTATGTCAAGAGGTTGTTTCGCGTGCATTGTGTTGGACATGTATTTCTGTTTGTAATATGTGTACCATCATTATGTGTATTTGCTCAGGCATCAAATGTAGCTTTAAGTTCAGTTTGTGCAGTCACGAGGCATCATAACGGCACGTGTTTCCCATAAATATATTCTTGTGTGTAATTTACTGTATGCCTTGTGTTTACCTGTATATTTAGTTATGAGAGTAGAAGCTTATTATTTACCTTTATATCGTTCCCTTATTCTCTTAATTAGTCTGTTTTTTCCTTTGTCCAAACACCTCAGTTACATAATTTGTCAGCACTGTTCAGTCACTTATCACCCTTGTTACAGTCTTGTTAATTACCCATTTATTTTCCTGTATTATACTTGACTTTAATTATTTCCTTTTTGCGTTTTTTTACAGAAACCACACACACCCATACATGTACCAACACATGTAAACACCAGCTGCTACTGTTCAACTGTCACATTCGGATTCATTACAGTTCATTATCAACCTATCAAGTCTCCTGTACTGTACTTTTGTAGTAGCAGTGCAATTTGTGCTTCAAATACAAAAAATATAATGACACAACATAAACACTGCTCTGAAGTGAGGGATATAATTTTATGTGAAACCTGCAGTTTATGTCATATCCAGGGTGCAGTGTTAACAGAATTTGGTTCTATTTTTCCCAAATTGTGTGCTTTGTTTTGAAAAATATCGTTTTTTTTATCAAGAATAGTGTCTAATTCCATCATAAGGACTTAGTTGTTAAGTGTGATGTCACTTTTGGGTCCATCAGATAATGCATGCGTCCAAATTTTGGATTTCCAGTCTCCGCGCAATGCATACTGGGAAAGATCCTCCAAAAACATGAGCATCAAACTGCCATGTTTGAGTGGGATGTCTATTGTCAAAGCCAGTCTTTCCAAGTCTTTTGAACTATATGACAGGTTCTGATATCATCATATTTTAGTTATGGGATTTGGACATCGTAATTGTGTGGTTGTTGAATGTCCTAACAGTGGAAAATGACTCGAGAAACCATCCCGAGTTTGCAGTGAACATTTTGTATGTGGAGCGCCATCAAAGCAAAATCCCGATCCCTCGCTCAACCTTGGTTATGCGTTTAAAAAGTGAACGTCAAAGTGAAATTCACCAGGTGTTCGCCAAGAAACACCTTCCACAGCAAAGCGACCAAGACGTGATGTTGCTGTAAAGCCACAAGAACAAGAAAGTGTGAGCTCAGCCTGTTTGTCTTCTGCACCTCTCGCTTAACAAACGGGATTTTGCTTTGATGGCGCACCACATACAAAATGTCCTCCTCAAACTCGGGATGATTTCTTTTTTGTCCTTCCTGCGTATCAGTCCTGCCCATCGCCTTTGCCTTTCACTATTTTTCAATTCCGTTGGGAAGACAAACAGTTTGAACAGAGGTTTGCATTCACACAGATCTGATTCCCTTTTGCAGTTATGGAGTTCGCAAACTTCGGAAGCCCATTTCTCAAGCCATTTGTTAGGACATCCAACAACCACACAATTACGATGTCCGAATCCCATAACTAAAATATGACAATGTTAGAACCAGAAACAAAAGCGATATGGTTCAAAAGACTAGAAAAGACAGACGCATCCCACTGGGAAATTAAACATGGCGGTTTGATGATCACTTTTTCAGATGACCCGTTCCCAGTATGCATTCCGCGATGACTGGAAGTCTGGAATTTGGGATGCATGTATAGAAGACAATGTTTATAGTTTCCTCTTTTTTTTTTTTTTTTTAGCAACAACACGTTATAACAAGATTGCAGTAATTTAAAGCTAACAAGGTTATAAGGTCATAAGTGAGATATACACACTTGTAATCCTATAGTATTACCTACGTTATTTACATATACGATACAATTGGCAGCTGAACATACTCTTTTGAAAGGTAATTATTATTTTTTTGTTTCTATGTATTTTTGAGCTAGATTTAGAGCAGATAATGATGACACTCGACAATGATGACACTCGACCTGAGTTTGCTTAAGAGGAGGAGAACACAGAGTTGGAGACAAATAGGACCAATAGAGCCTGAATGTGAGCACAGTTACTCTCCTGTGGCCCAAATAATTATTACTATGTATTTATGTATTTATTTATGTTTGTAGTTGAGTTGTTTATATATATTAGAGACCTGGTAAATTTATTTAGCATACAGCATTTGTTGGGCCTACAAAGGCTGCTCAAAATGGCCAAAAACTCTGGCAGGGTAGGTGGTGGTAGGCAGTGCTTTTTACAAGAACAGGGATGAAAGAGTCAAGTCATTACATTTTTAACAACATCATTGCAGTTGTGAGGTTAGCTTATTTAACATAAACATAGACCTTCTAAATGTGATCTGGAGCATTCATTAGCACCAACCTTACCTGTGTAACAAAAGAATTTGTATGAGCTAGTACAGCTCATATCCCTCCATAGACCATTTTGTATGAAAATACACAATTCTTTTCCACCATAATTAGTTGGGTCACCAGGCGCCCAGTTCTGGTAGCCTCCAGGACTGGTGGTCTCAGTGGAAGACCATCTCCAAGAGTTTGAGTCAGACGTCATCACCCCTTTCCATGAAGCAGGGTCATCGAATAATCCGATCCAGGCCTCGGATCCATCAGGTATTTGTAACTTGTTCACATCCTCTTCATTTTCTAATGTGGCTAGATCAGCGTAGTGCTCTCTGCAGTACTGCCGTGCTCCTTCCCAACTCAGTTGTAAGTTGACATATTGGTACTCAATCTGACATTGAACAAGAATGCCTCCTGATATTTTGGAACAAGCAAGAGTAAAATGTAGATTAGAATAGCAGGGATTCAGAACACAGCATTCAGTAAAGCTTTTTTTTCCCTTTAATGATACTAATTCTGTGACTTTAGGCATCTGAAAATATTAACCAATACTAGTTTATGGACTAAGTTGACTCAGAACACAGTCAATTTATAACAGAATTGATCAAACATAACAATGTTGTAAAAGTGTCTTTTAAATGGTCAACTCTTACAGAGATAAAACATGTTTGTGACATTTCAGAGACTGTATTATTTAAATACAACTATATTATGTTGTGTAACTTCAGAAACTTTTGTTCTGTCGACTATATTTCTCACGTTTCATTCATCATTGGTTATTTTCTAAATTACAGTGTAGTTTGCTGTCACAGTCTAAATTTCATATGAATAATGTAATAATTAAGGCTTATAATTATAACTTTATTGTGACAGGATCTTAAGGATGCAACAATACAGTTTCGATACAATTCAGTACATATCACATATACATTTTAACATATCAGAAAAACGAACAAAAACATAACATTCATATCAATCCCCCTGTCTCTTCACTGTTCAGCTATACCAGAGTTAAGCCAAGTTTTTTTATGTGTCCACTGAAGTATGGCACAGTTACTACATGTGGATACTGAACCACATCTATGTATTTTGAGGGTTATATTGAGTTATTTGATTTGTCGTGAGTATTTCTGTATTGTGACCAACTATTGGACCCTAACCCAGTTTGAGAACCACTGCTCTACAGCAGTGTTCACTCTGACTGACTTCTTTTGAAAGTTAGTTGTCTATTACTGATGTAGACAATACATTAAATAAATCAAAAACATGTCCAACCAAGCCACCTACCGCAGATCAAGAGTGCCCAAGTCTCCTTGCGAGGCATTACAGACAACCCTGTCTTCAGTTGAGGAACAAGTTGTGAGACAAGGAGTTGTATGTTACATCTTTTAACGATAATGATTTGAGCAATGTCATGCGACATGGGGCCGCCCTTCCGTGGGTCCACCACCTGTGGGAGGAGCCATATGGGGCCGGTGCAAGTAGATCTGAGTGGCAGTTGAAGGCGGGGACCTCGACAACCGGATCTCTGGACATGGAGACTAGCTCTGCGGACATGGAATGTCACCTCGCTGGGGGGAGGGGGAGCCTGAGCTCGTGCGGGAGGTTGTGCGTTACTGACTAGATATAGTCGGCCTCACCTCCACGCACAGATTGGGCTCTGGAACCCAACTCCTTGAGAGTGTCTGGACTTTCTATCTCTCTGGCGTTGGCCGCGGGGAGCGGAGGTGGTGTGGGCCCCACAGCTCAGCCGCTGTGTGTTAGAACGAGAGGGTCGCATCCCTGCGCCTTCAGGTCGGGGACAGGTCTCTCACTGTGGTGTCGGCCTACGGGCTGAACAGCAGTGCAGAGTACCCGGCCTTCTTGGAGTCCTTGGGAGGATTGCTAGTCAGTGCACCGACCGGGGACTCCGTTGTTCTCCTGGGGGACTTAAATGCCCATGTGGGCAACGACTGTACCCGAGTGGTGTTCTGTTGGACATCTGTGCTAGTCACAGTTTGTCCATAACAAACACTGTGTTCAAGCACAAGGGTGTCCATAAGTGCAGGAGGCACCAGGATGTCCTAGTCGATGATCGACTTGTCATGTCATGTCATCTGACCTCCTCTTGAACACTCAGGTGAAGAGAGGGGCAGAGCTGTCAACTGATCACCACCTGGTTGTGAGTTCAGTTCGCTGGTGGAGGAGGAAGCCGGAAAGACCTGGCAGGCCCAAGTGTGTAGTGAGGGTCTGTTGGGAACGTCTGGCAGAGCCCTCGGTTAGAGGGACATTCAAATCGCACAGCCCTCCCAGATTCCGGGGGAGGCTGGGGACATGGAGTCCGAGTGGGCTTTGTTCTTGGCCTCTATTTTCAGTGCTGCCGCTCGTAGCTGTGGTCGTAAGGTCTGTGGTGCCTGTCGCGGCAGCAATCCCCGAACCCGGTGGTGGACACTGGAAGTAAGGGATGCCATCAGGAGAAGGAGTCTTATCGGACCTTGTTGGCTCATGGGACTCCTGAGGCAGCTGATGGGTACCGACGGGCCAAGCGTGCTGCAGCTTGTGCGGTTGCGGAGGCAAAAATTGGGAAGCTGGGAGGAGTTTGGGGAGGCCATGGGGGAGGACTATCGGAGGGCCCCAAAGAGATTTTGGTAAACTGTCCGGTGCCTCAGGAGGGGGAAGCAGTCCTTCCCCAACACTGTTTACAGTGCGGGGGGTTAGCTGTTGACCTCGACTGGGGATGTTGTCCGGCGGTGGAAGGAATACTTTGAGGATCTCAATCCCACCGTCACGTCTTCCAAGGAGGAAGCCAAGGCTGGGGACTCGGAGGCGGAATAATCCATCACCCTGGCTGAAGTCACTGAGGTGGTTGGCAAGCTCCTTGGTGGCAAGGCTCTGGGGGTGGATGAGATCCGTCCTGAGTATCTTACGTCTCTGGATGTTGTGGGGCTGTCTTGGCTGACACGCCTCTTCAACATTACGTGGCGGTCGGGTACAGTGCGTCTGGACTGGCACACCGGGGGTGGTGGTCCCTCTGTATAAGAAGGGGGACCGGAGGGTGTGTTCCAACTATAGGGGAATCACACTCCTCAGCCTCCCTGGTAAGGTCTATGCCAGGGTACTGGAGAGGAGAATCCGGCCGATAGTTGAACCTTGGATCCAGGAAGAGCAGTGTGGTTTTCGTCCTGGCCGTGGAACACTGGACCAGGTCTATACTCTCCATCAGGTGCTCGAGGGTTCATGGGAGTTTGCCCAACCCGTTCACATGTGTGATATGTGCTCTGGAGAAGGCTTTAGACAGTGTCCCTCGTGGTGTCCTGTGGGGGGTGCTCTGGAAGTATGGGGTCCGGGGCCCTTTGCTAAGGGCTGTCCGGTCCCTGTATGACCGGAGCAGGAGCTGTGTTCGCATTGCCGGTAGTAAGTCAGACCTGTTCCCGGTGCATGTTGGACTCCGCCAGGGCTGCCCTTTATCACCAGTTCTGTTCATTGTATTTATGGACAGAATTTCTAGGTGCAGTCAAGAGCCGGAGGGGGTCCGGTTTGGGGACCACAGGATTTCATCTCTGCTGTTTGCAGATGATGTTGTCCTGTTGGCTCCATCAAGCCAGGACCTGTAATCTGCACTGGGGCGGTTTGCAGCCGAGTGTGAAGCGGCTGGGATGAGGATCGGCTCATCTAAGACCGAGGCCATGGTTCTCGACCGGAAAAAGGTGGCTTGCCCTCTCCGGGTGGGTGGAGAGTCCTTGCCTCAAGTGGAGGAGTTCAAGTATCTTGGGGTCTTGTTCACGAGTGAGGGGAGGACAGAGCGTGAGATTGAGAGGCGGATCGGTGCAGCGTCAGTAGTGATGCGGTCGCTGTATCGGACAGTTGTGGTGAAGAAAGAGCTGAGCTGAAAGGCGAAGCTCTCAGTTTACCGGTCAATCTTCGTTCCTACCCTCACCTATGGTCATGAACTCTAGGGTAATGACCGAAAGGACGAGATCGCGGATACAAGCGCTCGAAATGAGTGTCCTTCACAGGGTGGCTGGGCGCTTCCTTAGAGATAGGGTGAGGAGCTCAGAGTAGAGCCGCTGCTCCTCCACGTTGAGAGGAGCCAGCTGAGGTGGCTCAGGCATCTGTTCTGGATGCCTCCTGGGCGCCTCCTTCGGGAGGTGTTCTGGGCATGTTCCACCAGGAGGAGGCCCCGGGGAAGACCCAGGACACACTGGAGGGACAATGTCTCTCGGCTGGCCTGGGAACGCCTCGGGGTCCCCCGGAGGAGCTGGAGGACGTGTCTGGGGTGAGGGAAGTCTGGGAGTCCCTGCTTAGGCCGCTGCCCCCGCAACTTGGCCCCGGATATGCGGAAGAAAATGATTGGATGAATGCAGTGGTGGCTGTCTCATTGTTGCCATTCTAATGCACCTGTTCATTTCCACTAAAAAAGGTGGCATCCTTTTGTTCCTAAGATGTGCAGTTTGTCTGATATGTAAACAAAGTGTAGCAGTTTTCAAAGAATATAATCTGCGCCGTCAAGGTCATAAAATTCTGTTTTATGACCGACACGACCCTGGCCCCCATCACAGTCAGAAGCGAAAATGTGCCCCCCAGAGAAAAACCGTTTGGTGACTCGTGATGTACAATGTAACTTAAGTTTATTTTTGAAAGCATCCCTATTTGAAACAAGAGAAATGGCAGAACTTTATCATTCTCAGTGTTTAATTACTTCAGTCTACTAAGCTGTAACTCATACCTCTTAGACCCACAATAATTAGCTTTAATCAAAAAATATTAGTTAAAATTACACAAAAAGAACAACACGTTACAGTGACTTAACAGAATTAAGTTAGTAGGACTTTTTCTAAATTTGACTATACACACTAACTAATCTATTTAATTACTTTGAATGTTCGGGTTTACAGTGATAAGTAAAAAGACTAGTGTAGATCGTGAATTGTTTAGTAACAAACCACTTGGGTTGTATCGCTCCAACACGTACCTGATTATGAAAGCTCCTCCATCCTGATGTTGTATTCTCTCAGTTTGTTTGTCGTGTCTCAGAGCACAGTGTGGATGTTATGTTGTAATTTTGTCATCAAAAACATACCCGAAGAATGCCCATGTGGCCGTACATAGGCCGAACAAAGCGCAAAATGAAAAACAGACTGGCTGAACAGAAATAGGCTATAAGGACCTGTAACCCCCTGTATCCTACGGCCATGCATGACAAAGAAGTCAACCGTGGCAGCTGTCAAAGCCTAAAAATCCGTGGAATTGAACATTTTAAAGAAACAATAAGAGGAGGCAATAGACTGAAAAAACTACTACGGAGAGAGTCCTACTGGATCTACACTCTCAAGGCTAAACAGTTTCCAGGACTCAATGGAGAGATAGATTACCATTTGGTTGGTTATATGTTTTTTCTGAGGGGTCCATTCTCCGCACACTTGGCAATTCACAGAGCTTTTCAGGCCGAGGCACCTAACATCACTCCCCGATCCAGCTCCTCTGAGCCCAGCCCGAACCAGAGCTGCTCCTGCTGGGTCAGAACTCTGGTTTGGATCTAGTCTGACTGCAGTATTTCTCACACTACGCTAAATGCAGTTCCTTTTATAAGTTGAATCAATTAAATAGGGCCTATTCAGTTAAGGCATCTACTGTGATGTCTTTATCTTTTTTTTTACATTT